TTTGGGATTTGTGTGGATTAACCAGCAGATTTGCCCCATGTGATAACGGCCTAAGAGTTATATATCTCTATATATCTATATACCTCACCACCTCTTCAGACCAGGCACAATAGGCAACCTGTCCTATGAAATTGTTGTTTGTGGCACAGGTGATTTCTCAGACGATCGGTCAACATTGCTGGGTTTTGAGGAGTCTGCAGAGTCTTTCCACCTTCTCTTTCTTAGGACTTTATCACATGGGGGAAATCCCATGCAGAAACGGAATTTAAGAGCTGGGGGAAACCCACAAAAGCTGGTTGATTTTCACACATGTCTTTGTTAAAGTACTGTTAACCCGAATGGAAAGTAGACAAAAGCCACTCCTTTTTACTTTTGAAATTTTCCAAAAGTAAAAAGAAGCAATTTTTGACTACTTTCCATTTGGGTTAACAACACTTTAACAACAACATTGTGTGAAAACCAACCCACTTTTGCAGGTTTTTCCTGTTTCTGCACGGGATTTCCCCCATGTGATTAAGTCCTTATTCTTGAGAAGCAAGAGTGGGAACAACACAAGAGAAGATGGGCCATTGCCGGTATGATGGAGGAGCAGTAGTGGCAATTTTTTTCCACCCCACCTGAGACAGTCGGAGATCTTCACTTTACTTTGATTTTGCCTCCCTCCAGAGAACCAGTGCAAAAAAAAAAAAAAAAAAAAAAAAAAAACCCTGTTGCTGTCTGACATGTTATTGTTGGTGTGTGCCTTCAAGTTGGTTGTTTCTCATTTATGGCAGAAGTAAAGCCTAACCTTATCACAGGGTTTTCTCTTCAAGATTTGTTTGGAGGAGTTCCCCTTGCCTTCCTAAGAGTCAGAGAGTGTGACTTACCCAAGGTTACCTGGGAGTTTCCATAGCCAAGTGGGGATTTGAACCCTTGTCACCTGGAGTTCTAACTGAGCATTGAAACCATGCTGGCTCTCTCTGACATGTACCTTTGATTTTTCAGAGCTTGACACTCTCTTCCCCCCCCCAACCCATTTCATATATTCCATTTGTTTGTATATGGTGCCTCTTCCTCTCAGTTTAATGATTGTCTTGCTTAAGAGTCCTTTTCCCTGTTTCTCAAATGCTTCCCAGGTCTAAGCACAGAAGTAGTTACTAATGATTATTCTTGATTTCATCTTAGCCTGTATATTCAAGCTGAAGATTGGCCATAAGTATCCCTTCCCTTCACTACAAATTTTAGCATGCTGCATAGATAGAAGCCTATAATAGTATTTGATTAAAGTTAGGGGAGATTGAGGGTGGGGGCAAAAATGTGTCTATACTGTTCCCTTCCATATCAATGCAAAAGCATGCAGACAACCCTGTAACCTGATATTTTTTTATTAGAACCCAGCATCCACAATATTGACTCCTGAACCCTTGAAAATCCAGCTCTGAAACTAGCTACATAAGAACAAAGTCTACTTTGTGTGCCCTGTGCAACCAAAAGATTGAAATTTCTATCTTTCAGCAGCTATGAATTTTTAATAGATCCTTTTCTTTCTATTTTTCAGAGGGAGGAAAGAGAACTCTTCCCTCCCATCATCATCATAAAGGGCCATAGGCAAAAGCTGCCAGAAAAATTCAAACAGCTCCAAGTGTGCAAGCCAGCAGTGCTGCAGGCACAGAATTCATTTGGACAGGGATGTTGTTTTTACATGTGCAGGAGGAGCCTGAGACTGGAAGGGACTGAGGCAAAGAATAAATGAATGCCAAAAATAAAAAAATAAAGAGTGAGAGAGGATGAATTTGACACTGAGTCATTTCTTTTCAGTCACTGGGCAGTGGGCCTTAAATTGACCCAGGCCCAACTTTTGGCTTAAATGCTACTTCCCTCTTTGTATTACAATAACACTGCTTGTTGTCGGGTTTGATGCCAGGCACCCGCACAGCTGCTGGGTCTTGCAGGGCACACAGCATCAGGGCAACTCTTCCCAGGTCCCTCTTGGCAGCTGGTGCCAGCAAAGCAGAAAAAGTCTGTCATGTGCCTTTCATTTTTCTGAGCTTGACATTCATGCTTTATTCCCATTTCACATATTTCCTACACTTGGCACATGGTGCCTCCACTTCTTGGTTTAATGACTGCCTGGCATAACTGTCCTCTTCCCTCTTTTTCAAGGGTTTCTCAGGCCTGAGCGTGGAAATCATTATTACTGGCTATTACTTGCTAATGCACACCCAAGTTGAAGATTGGCCATAAGAAAGACTTCCAGATGAATCTTTGGTTGTGCAGTTGCTACTTGCTCTAGGCTATATTTCAGGAGAAGAAACTGAGCATTCCTTGCCTAAGAAAACCCTATGAAATTTATGGGGTGACCATAAGTTGACAGATAACTTGAAGGCACACACTTGCATACTTTATTCAGAGCATTTTACAGGAGGTTCATGCAACAATTTCTTCCACTTGTGGGAATTAAATTCATGTTTTTACATTGCTTCTACCATCTTTTTTTCTCTCTTTCCACAAAATAATTTGTGGAAGGAAGAATGGAATAACTGCATAATGCCTTGGGTTTCATTCCCTTTGGATAAGAGAGCAATAGAGAGTTAAGGTGCATTTGTAATACAGATAAACCTCACCTAACATGCCTCAGACAATGAAGCTCCTTTTTAGAAAGGTTTTTTTATGCTTGCCCATCCCCCTTTTCTTCTTTCTCCTCTTCTTTTTAGTTGGAAATTTTTAAGCAGTATTAAAATTAGGAGGATAGTGAAGGATTGCTGGAGAAACACAGGTTTGGGTTTCAGCAATGTGTGTGCAGTAAACAATAAAATAAAGCTTGAACTGGGAAAGAGTAAGATTCTGCTCAAGCCAATCTTCCTGTAGCTGTTTGTGCCCACCTACAACAGACAAGGTAAACAGCAACTACCTCTGGAATTCCTTACCAGGCATGAGTGAACAGCAAAATCAAGAGAAAAGGGGAAAATTTGTGTGTGTGTGTGAAGTAGTAGCCTATCCCTATTCTATCCATATTGCTTTCTGTTAAAGAAGAAATGCCCAAGGACACATTTGCTTTGTTATCAGAGGTATATCTGTTAACCTTATTGCACGGCACTTACAGGAACAGGAATGAAACAAAAAGGAACAGCATGAAACAGGTCGAGAACACATGTTACTGCACAGGAAAATGCCACCGATGCCGCCAGGAGTCCCCAAGCCATTCCCCAGCCATTCCTGGCAGCTGATTTTTAGGTGAGGTTTATCTGTATTACAAATGCACCTTAACTCTCTATTGCTCTCTTGTGCAGTTGCTCTGGCAGCTGATTTTTGAAGAACAATTCCATCCCTTTCCATTCTATTCCCGTTCCTGTAAGTGCCGTGCGATAAGGTCCTATATTTGCTTTGCTTACAAATCTATATGCAGAGAAAAAGTGGAGGCAAACAGGCAGGTCATCAACTATCAAGTAGGGACTACCTGTTTTAGTTTTTAAAAAGGAGAGAACCTTTATCCCACTACGGTCTTTTGTTCTGAGTGAGCTCACTGCTCTCTCAGTTTCTCTGTATCTAACTCCTTTGAGGAGTTCAGTAGGTAGTTCTGTCAAGGACCGAGAACCCCTTGCTCTCCAAGTGAAGCTCAGCTCTAACTCACAATAACCTCAGCTAGTATATCCAGTCATTCCTGGTGGTGAGAGTTATAATCCAAAAACATCAGGGAGGGGGCCAACATGTTTCCTACCTTTGATTCAGATGTCATTGTCTCCACATATGAGATACTCATATCTGTTATACAATT